TTGTTCCCTTAGTGTAGCAAGATGAAACTGACTTAGGATCACGTTAGTTTCATAAAAATTATTTTACTACTTGGCAAGCAGAGTATTGGGAAGCAACAACTCAGATTGAATTCTTCTGCAGGAAAGTGATTAAGATTGCAGAATAAATATGCATACCATACCACGCATATCACAGCAAGTTTAAACATCAGGGTGGGTTTGTTTGGACAGTCTAGGTTACAGAGACCAAAATCATAGGTGAAAACATTCACCATAACGTATTTGAAGTTTCTTGATGTCAAACCCCCTTATTTGATGTAGGCTATATTGCTGGGCATAGGACAGCTGCATTGACACATTAGGTGACTGTTCTGCCATTAATGTGCAGTGCAAATGACTTGCTCACGTTAACTTCTCTGAACACTAGTGTTCCCATCTGTAAAATAAGAAATGAATAAAGAATCCTATACAAGTACTCTGGTACTGTCATTCGTCGTGATCTTCTACGTTACAGAGGAAATCACTTTTTGGTAAAGAAGGATATTCAGAACCAGTGCAACTCAGCCCCCCAAAGAAGTTGCTACTGAGTGACACCAAGGAAAGACAGATGATGTCTGTGGAAAGGAAGATGCAAACGAATGGACAGAATACCAAAAGGAAAGACACTTACCTCTGCTACAGATTGCAGGCTCCGGGCAAATTTCAGCTGGTTAACACCATGATTTACAGGTTTACCATAGGTAGCACCTTTCGGGACTGGGCGTTTACGACCACCACGGCGAACACGAATGCGGTAGATAACATAACCTGCAAACACCATTTTTTAAAAACTGAGTTTCTTGGAACTACAAACTTCTTATAACCTTTCAGTCACTAATTATGCTATTACGCTTCCCCATCAAGAGCTATACTTCTATGCTACCACAAGTACTGCTTTTTGTACAATAATCTTCACGCATTGCTCACCAAGTAGTACAGAACATTAAGAGCTTGTCTGCGTGAGAAAGTTTTGTTGTTGTACGTATACTGGTACAGTTAAAGCGGCAAAACTCCCCAAGTATAGACCGTTCCACTGGCATAGAATATTCTGGTTTGGGAATTGAAAAAAACTACCAATAATATAGAGTACACTTATACAGGCTCTTACCTGGGTGTTGCCCCCTAAATTCCCTCCTATCCCCACACAAATGCTTCACCCAAGTTTAGTGTTTTTAACTCTGGCTAGCGGGTCTAGCTAGGAATGTGGAATAGAACCCAGGTTCCACTTTCACTTGGCAGTTTGCAGCGAGGATATAGTCTATATCAGTGGTTCTCAAAGCCAGTCCGCTGTTTGTTCAGGGAAACCCCTGGCGGGCCGGGCTGTTTACCTGACACGTCCTCAGGTTCGGCCGATCGCGGACTGCAGCCAGTGGAAGCCGCGATCGGCCGAACCTGCGGATGCGGCAGGTAAACAAACCGCCCCGCCAGGGGCTTTCCCTGAACAAGCGGCGGACCAGCTTCGAGAACCACTGGTCTATACCACTCAAGTGCCTTCCCATAATTCCTTCTGTGCCCAGAAGGACAGACAAGGTCTCCCACAATTCACTGAGAAAGAATCGGGGCTCATTTCATTGCAGCACATAGAACCACGGGATCTGTCCCCAGAAGTGCTGGTGACACAAGGAGGAATGCAGCACCAGTGAAAACACAGTAACTTGACTGTGGCTGGTCTATACCTAGCTAGGCTAAACCAGATGCTGAACACCCAGGCTAACTCAGTAGTGAAGATATACCATAAGAATGAGAGGATTTCAGTTTCCATACATATTTAGACTATGGCTAGCTTCTCTACCCAAAATGCCAACATGGGTGCCAATTAAGAGTTAACCTAGGTTCTACTTCTTGTATGTGCCCACAACTCATATGGTAACTTGGTATGATACCAAACTAATTTCACACAGGAAACAAAAATTTAAACTCTCAGTGACGAGCATGATTAAGTATGCAGCATGCTCCCAGTTACACGGATTCATTAATATTCAATCATGGAAGGACCTATCAAAAACCATTACACCACTAAAGCATGCTGACCTCACACCTTTTTAGTTCTAGTTACCTTGTTTAGCCTTATATCCCAGTCTACGGGCTTTGTCTGGCCTGGTTGGTCGGGGAGCTCGATGGAGGGCAGACAACTGGCGATACTGCCAACAGCGGACACGCAGGAGGAAACGCATCACGTCTGACTGCTTCTTCCTCCATAGCTCTTGGATGTATTTGTAGGCACCCATGTTTGTTTACCTGTGAATTAGAGATCTGTGTAAGCTTACAGCATCTTTCCAACCAAAAAAACAAAAACATCACACAAAGGGAATAAAAAATATGCTGCCTTATGTGAACTCATCTCCAAGGCGCGCGCGCTCTCTCTCTCTATATATATATGTGTATGTCAAGCATGGCTACACTATTAAAGAAGTACACATCTGGGATTCTGGAGATCTGTAACTAACCCACACATTCTGATGACCATCATGAAGTTTCCTCCTCTTTTCATCTGTTTATGTCTTTATACCTCAAACTCTTCAGCCCAGAGACTTTTTTCCTTTGTGAAAATGCTCAGCATGTTTTGGCTGCTACCACAACTAAATAATATCTGACCTGAATTTTAGTTATTGCTCTGTAAAACAAAACTTCAGGGAAGTCATGCTGGGTCTCAGTTTCTTCATCTAACAAAAAGCTTACTTTATTGGTATCTCACGTTCTTTGAAAGCTCCAGAAGAGCATCATTCAAATTCTGCAAAATATTCAAGAAGCCACTTATCCCATGCAGCATAGTTTTGCAGGTCTCATGGGAAGTCAAAAAGCAAATTTAATTCAGCCATGTCAAATTCAACCCTAAAAAAATATCTCAACCTGAGACAGCTTGATTAGAAACAAACCACATTTTGGTTATCTTCCCCTCTTGTGTTAAGAGCTCTGTCTTCCAGTCTACCTATATGGGGTGGCATTCCTACACCATTCCCTCACTGCTTTCAATGGGGCAGTTTAAGAAGCCCTTGCTGATCCACAGGGTGCAGATGTCTGTATAGAACAACACAAACTAGTAAAAGCAAAGCCAAGCTGAATAACTGGAGTCAGTATCTACCCCCTACCCAAGCTCCTCCTCAGTGAGGCTCCCCCACGACACAGCCCTAAGGCTTGGCTGCCCCTGGACCCTAGGGCGACACGCCCCTCCCCCCCCATACGTGTCAGTCAGAAGCTGTCACCCCCATCCCTTACACTCTAAGGGCTGTCCCACAGCAGCCAGCTCAGAGAGGCCTAGGCACCCGCTGCGCCCCTTTCCTCACCCTGTCATGGCCGTTCAGAGGTTCAGTCACCCGCACCCGGCCGCCCAATGGGGCTCCCCACTCAGCACGCAGCTGCCTGCGCCCCAGGCACCCCACGTGCAGGGGGGAGGCCCGGCCCAGCTCGCGCCAACACCACTCAGGGGGCCGGTCCGACCCGTCCCCTGCCGCCCTGTCCCTGCCTCGGAGCCCGGGCCCTAGGGGCCTGGGCCGCGCAGGGAGCGAGGAAGGAAAGACGGATGGGCGGCTCCAATCTCCGATGGGGTCGGATGAAGCCAACAGCCCAGCACGGCACAAACCCTCACCTGATGGCGCCCGAAGCCGGAAAGGAAGAGGCCTAGCTCCCACAGGCCTTTGCGGCCCCCTATCGCTTCCGGCGCTAGCGCTGGAGCCTGCTGGGAAACGTAGTTCTGAGGGGGCCAACTGCTCTGATTGGCCTAGCCTCCTCCGCACCGCCCCCCTCACCCCATGGCCAATAAAAGGAGGGGGCGGGGCTGTGATTACAAACTGGGCTGTGGGTGGGCAGGGCTTGAGGAAGTGCCCTAGGAGCTCCACCCCCAAGGTGGGAGGAGCATCTTTCTGTGCGAGTGGAGGTCCGAGGTCCCGCCGCGTTCCAGGGGCCGGGCGTGTGGGCGGAGCCCAGCTCGAGAGCTCAGAGCGGCTGGGCGGGGCTTGCGGCGCACGCGGCAGTTGCTCCGTCAGCTCGGGGTCCCCGACCCCTCCTGCCAGGGGCGCCCCCTGTCGCTGGGCTAGCAGCCGTAGGGAAAGGCGGGCCTGGGGCCAGCTCGCTGGGCTAATTGCCCTGGAAAGAGCCTCCCCCCAGCCTCGGGCCCAGCTGGCATCTGCATGCCTACGGTGCCTTCTCCGCCCCGTCTCCGGGCCAGGGGTCCCTGCCCATCGAGCCAGCGGTTTTGGGTGGTGCCTTGGCATGGCCACCTCCAGCCATGTCAAAATCCCACATCAGGCCCCCCCAGCCTGAGAGTGCCCAGCACGCAGCGGGAGAGGGATAGCTCAGTGGTTTGAGCATTGGCCTGCTAAACCCAGGGTTGTGAGTTCTAAGCCTTGAGGGGGCCACTTAGGGAACTGGGGCAAAAATCAGTACTTGGTCCTGCTAGTGAAGGCAGGGGGCTGGACTTGATGACCTTTCGGGGTCCTTTCCAGCTGTATGAGATAGGTATATCTCCATATATTCATGATATATATATATATATATATGAAACCCACAGTAGTAGAGGTGGGAGTTGGCAGCACTGCACAGGCAATGTGCTGGGTGCTGTATAAACACAAAAGCAGGCACAGTCCCTGCCCTGAAGAGGCTGCAAAGCCTTAATCCTGCAAGTAGTAAGCAGGTGTGTAACTCTACTTATGTGAACAGCCCCCTGGAAGTGGAGGGAATTGCTTGCCTAAGTAAATTTAAATGTGTGTAAACATTGGCAGGCTTGAGGCTTAAAAAGTGGAGGTGGGAGCAAATTGCATTGTCCTGGAAATACCAGCTGCTAGTGACCTCTTCAGAGAGAGCTCTGCTTCAAAATCAACTCCATGGCTTGTTGAACTATATAATTAAAATATACTGAAGCACTAAATGTTTCAGTGGCTTTGCTTTAGTCTGTCTTCAGAGTTCTGTTAATGTAATGTCTTAAATATAACAGATCTCTGTGCTTGAACAGGATTTATTTGCTGACTTTGCCATCCTGAAAGAAGATGGGAAAGGGCTACAAAATAGTGATTTGTGGAATGGCATCAGTGGGAAAAACAGCAATTTTGGAGCAGCTTCTCTATGGAAAACATACTGTTGGTGAGATATGTTTTCCTTTTTTATGATCCAACAAGTTTTAGGGGTACCAATCTGGGCTTAATTTCTTACCTTTACTGAGGTGAAGGGGGAGAATGAACATGGTCTTGGTTTTTGGCAGCGATCAGTTTTCTGGAACTCTTCTAAATTCTGTTTCAAGCCTTCTATACCACCTCTTAATGGACACTTGCAAAGTAACAATAAAATTGGCTGTGTGGGTGGGTGTGTGTAGTGGTGGTGGTGGGAGGTTATTTGTTCTTCTTGCTGCTTAACATAAAAGTTTAAAAGGGAAAAAAGATGAAGAGTGGAGGGGGCAATGTGTTTTCTTTCTGCCTGGTTTTTGACACTAGAAATTCTGGTCTTCCACCTGGGAGACTATATAGATGACTGTAGAAAGAGTAGACTTATTACATCTGAAATGTAATAGATACAGATACCTAGAATAGGAATCCTGCTAAATTGAAAAGGGAGGTGATTTCACTTTTGTAGACTCTTTAAAACTTAGTTTTAGTTGTGGTTGACACCTGTTTAGCTGAACATCTGGTAGGTAGGGTGTGAATTCCATAGCACCTGGGGCTCTTTAGCCTGACTTGTCTTGTGAGAGCAGACTAGAGCATTGACTGGTTAATTTCTCCTAAAGACGTCTGGAAAAGCTTTTGAAATGTTCCCTCTGTTCAGTGATGTCTCAGATGGAGGTCAGCCCTGTACTTCGAGGTGCCTATGGCCCCTCTATTTCTGCCAAAGCTTATCAGCTATGAGATAAGTTAAGGAAAATTAATTTCCCCAATACTAATTTCTCCCTACTGTCACTCACACCTTCTTGTCAACTGTCTGTAATCGGCCACTCTCTTGCCACTTCAAAAGTTATTTCTCTTCTCTTGGTATCCTGCTGTTAATTGATTTATCTCGTTAGACTGACTTAACACTTAGTAAAGCACCCCACATCCTTTCATGTATTTATACCTGCTCCTGTATCTTTTTCATACATCTGATGAAGTGGGTTCTAGCCCATGAAAGCTTATGCCCAAATAAATTTGTTAACCTGAGATGGGATTTTCAAAAAGTGCCCAAGGAACACAATGGGAGCACAGATCCCATTAAAGGACAATGGCACTTATGCTCCTAAGTCACTTGGACATTTCTGAAATCCGCTTTCCGTATTTGCAGTTTCTTTGTGCATTGTCTAAGTTTACTATGTAATATTCACTGTCAAATATTTATTGGTAAATGGCATTCAGTATCTTTGATCCTTACTCTTCACATTTCTAAATTGCAAAACCATTTACACTAAACTTGAGCAGAATTTACAGTGTGCCTTGTCTGCTACAGATGAAATTTGTGAGCACGTTTCTTGCATGGTGCTGATTTGCAATGTAAACAAGGATTCTTCCTCCCCACTCCCTGGACTCTCCGAGACTTAGGCTAGTTACTAATGCTATAAATGATGTGCCTGTCCTCCCCAGTAATCTTTAGCATTGTTTTATAACAGTTGTAACAAGGTTCTAAGAAAAATGTCTGTAGGCAGATTGTACTAGCCAACAACTGTAAATACTCTTGGCAGCATGGTTTCAACCATAGCATTGTCAGGTGGTTCTGTCCTCCTCTTTCTCTAGCTGATGCATGCAAGTCTAAGCTTACTAATCATTTTCAAAGGTGGGTTATTCTAACTGGGGGAAATTCCCACTACATGAATGACCAGCAGGAGGCCTATGTGCCACCAGAAGCTGGGAATGAGCGACAGGGGATGCATCACTTGATGATTACCTGTTCTGTTCATTCCCTCTGGGGCACCTGGCACTGGCCACTGTCGGAAGACAGGATACTGGGCTAGATGGACCTTTGGTCTGACCCAGTATGGCCGTTCTTATGTTCTAACCCGTTTTGAGTGGCACATAGGCCTTGTGCTGCCCTTTTTCAGAGGTCTGAATTTCACCCATTGAGACTACTGCTGTGTAAATTCCTATGCCCCAGAGAGGTCCTTAAGGTCCTCCATCATGGTTACTTATTCTCACTCCCACCCTCAGCTCTTTCCAGCATGAAAGAGTTCTTCATTTCCACCCCTTTCTCATCAGGTAAGATGGTACAGACATATGTCGCTGCTTCCATTATGTTGGTTGGGAGGAACTGCCACATGTACAGTGGCTGGAGGCAGAGAGCAGGAAGAAATTATTGTTCCCAGAAGGGACTCAATTAGCCACCTAGTTTTTAAAAATGCCCCAGCATACCCTCCTGCTACCACTTTCCTGAATCAGATCTACAACCTTATTTCGCACTCATTCTCTTTTTATGAATCTGTCCAGTCTTTCCTCATGCTGTTAATCTTATGTCCTCATGTCAGTGTGGCTATAGTTGGAGGCAAGATCAAATAGTCTGGTCAGAGTTTGCTGTGAATCTAATAGGAGTTGGATTTATGAAGACTAGAAAAAGAGGGATGGAGTAGCAAGGAGAGCTTGTGCCACTTTTTTTCTGGAAACAAAGGTTGCATGCGGCAGGGGAAATAATCAGCACACGTGTGGGTGGAATACTTAAGCATCTTTGTTGTTATGAAGGGTTTCAAATAGTGTTATTCAACATAGTAAAATCCTTATTTTCTAACACAATGTGTCAATATTGTCTGAAAATCAACAGAAAGCTAGCTATCCTACAAGAACCAACAAGCGTATGTTTGTGGGTGTGCAATAGAGGCAGGAGATGACAAACTTTGGTAACAGAAGGCTTGTTTGAAAATTTGAAACTACTACTAAAACCAGTGAGCTAGACTTGAAATTCTGAGATCTCCATCATGTCCTTAAGTTATGTAGATTCTCTGCACTCAAACATCCTTCAGCCTTGCTGCTTATAGCATCATATGGCCTGAGTCTACCTGTTGGGTTGTTAGTACTTTACACAAGTAGTCCCATAGACTTCACGTATTAGTCCCCCTACTCTACTTGTGGAGAAAGGTACTATTCAATATGAGGAAGAGTGGCAACATTAGGGCTATAGGGACTAGATAGGGTGCTAAAGAAAACTTAATTAAGCCTTACACTAGTAATTTCTTTAGTACTCCTTTTTCCTCCGTTATGCTGCCTGAGGGGCAAATTCTGACTCCTCCACAGCTGGCTTTATACTTAGCACAACTGGTACAGTTCTGGTGGGCAGGATTTGGGGAACCTGTGGGAAGGGCCACCTAAGTGATATCATCCTAAACTTATGCCCATAAAAATGCATTACATATATTCATGTACAGAATGTGTATATGACATGGTCTCATTACTGTAAATAGCTGGCCTGTTGGTCTTGCTGAGAACACAATAGGATCTGAGTTCAAATCCTGATCAAAACCATCCAAAAAAGCAATTTTTTTTAAATTGATTGAAATGTACTGTTAAAAGCCGAGTGTTAGTAGTTTTACTGCAGTATGAATAAATACTTACATCATCACTTTACAGAATTTATTATAAGTTTTAACTTTTAGGGGGCTTTTTTAAAACAACAGGTTTAGAAGAGGGTGCAACAGTGGAAGATGTGTATTTGGCTTCAGTCGAAACAGATCGTGGGGTAAAGGAACAGTTACGTCTCTATGACACTACAGGTCTGCAAGAGGGAGTAGAGTTTCCAAAGCATTACTTCTCAGTTGCTGATGGTTTTGTTCTTGTGTATGCTGTGAACAGCCTTGAATCCTTCCAGAGAGCAGAAGTGATCAAAAAAGAGATTGACACAGTCAGAGACAAAAAGGAGGTAAAAGCTTGATGCCTTAATTTCTTGGCCATGTCTGAAATAGCACAGTAATGGAAAGTTAAATTACAAAGCAGTACAAAGCAAAGCAAATTTTCCCTGCAGTCTCGGGCCATCTAATGAAAGAACTTTTCCTATACAGGAGAATTTCATTAATCCACACACTGTATAATTGGCACATAAGATAAATGTCTTGCCTCTCTTCTCGGCAGCGATGTAATATTTCATACGGACGGTAGTATAATTTGTAAACTGATCAGGTGCTATACATGAAAACTAAAGTGCAGTGGATAAAACAATGTGGTCACTTGGTTTTATTCACTTACTTGCTCATTTACAAAATACAGTAGTTGACAATGGGTCTCCCACACATTAGAGTCAATTAGCAAGGAGGCTCTACTGTATTCCAGTGTGGCTGTTAAATCACTTCTATTGTGCAGAATGACTGCTGTATTTTCCCTTAGAAAGCAGCTAGTGTTATCAGTTAATACAGTGTTGCAGCTCTGCTACCCTGTTTCCCCGAAAATAAGACAGTGTCTTATATTAATTTTTGCTCCCAAAGATGCGCTAGGTCTTATTTTCAGGGGAGGTCTTATTTTTCCATGAAGAAGAATACGGTACACATTTATTGTTGCGGCCAATCAGTGAGCTGCGCGGCGGCGCCCGCCGCTACAGTCCAGAAGAGTCAGACGCCTTACGGTAGCTTCGGGGCCTTATATTCCGGGGAGGTCTTATTTTCGGGGAGGTCTTATTTTCGGGGGGATGCCTTATATTACAGCGAGAGGCAAAACTGGAAGTAGGTCTTATTTTCGGGGGATGTCTTAATTTCGGGGAAAGACGGTAGCTGAATATCACCTGCACAGTACACTTATGCTTACCATCTTCTTAGAGAATCCATGTATCCTTTAATGGTTTTCCCTGCTAAATGCCTTTAGCCGATAGATCAGCAAAATAAAGCTCATTCAGGCTATTAAAAAGGAAGGGGGGGAAAAAAAGGGGGGGGGGAACACAGGCAGAATGTCATACCACTTCTTGCAAAACATAAGACGTACTATTTAGTACTCAAAATGTATCGAGGGGAGAGGGGGAAAGAATGGTTTGACAGCAGAGCAACTTGCAGTCACAGAAGAGACAGATTAGCCATTGACCATAGCTAGGTATCTTGTTTCCTGAGTGGGTTGCAGAAGTTATGTTCTTGAGGGTTATTGTGCTTTTCTAAGTCAACTTCCCCCTTTCTGGGCAGATACAGAGCTGCTTATGGGTGGGTCTGGGAAGGCCTCTGTGGCAAATGAAAGATGCTGTGATCTTGACTAAAGCACGTGGTGGAAATGGTGGCCCTATAAGAGTTAAAACGTCACCAATATTGACATAACTTAAAGCAGTAATCCTGACTTGCTCAGAAGGTAATGATGCTCTGAGAGCTCTCCAGGGAGTCGTAGAAGATATTAAGGCAAGAGAACCTGTAGTAAAGTACTTACAGACAGAAGAACCCCGGGAAAGAAACTGGAGGCATAGGACATCCCAGAGACTGCTCAACAGGAAAGAATAGTTAGGCCTGGCTACAGTAAAAACCAGTGCTGGCAGGAAGAGGGGGGAGAGAGAGAGAGAGAGAGAGTGAAAACAACCCAAAGCAAGAGGAGAGGGATAGAATTAATAAGTTTGAGTTCAGGGCTATACAGAGCAGGGCTTCTCCAAGGAGCATATAATGTAAATACTGGCACAGATTTTCTTACCTGTTGCTAACAATTGAGATGATTAAAACTAAAAGAAAAACCTCTTGAAATACACAAGGTTAAATAGCACTAGTAGCCTGATGTAGTCAGTTCTGCTTTCAGCTTCTCCTGCGCTACCAAACAGATTGGATTGTAAAACAATCAGGAGAATGTTTAGATAAACTCCTCTGAAAAAAATTGTATTAGTCTTAGCTTATGTACCTAGTTTATACGTCTCTCCTCCAGGACAATATGCCACTTGAGTGTGATATTTAGAGGCAAAACAGAGGGGTTTCCTGTATGACGTTCTGAGTAGTGCAACAGCCTGTAGTAACATCAACAGGTTATCTTATGGAGGAAGAGACTTAGGCCTTGGCTACACTTGCAGATGTACAGCGCTTTGAGTTAAACCTGACTTCGAACAGCTGAGTAGGGAAAGCGCTGCAGTCTGTCCACACTGACAGCTGCCCAGTGCACTGTCGTGGCCACATTTGCAGCATTTGCTGCACCATTGGGAGCAGTGCATTATGGGCAGCTATCCCACAGAGCACCTCTTTCCATTCTGGCGCTGTGGGTTGTGGGAAGGGGGTGTGGGTGCGGGGCATTCTGGGTCCTGTCCCAACGCCCTGTGATGCATCGCTTCGCATCCCAGAAATCCCTTTGTTTCCGTCCACCTTTGGCGCCATCTTTCAACGGTTTCTGTGCAGCGCGATCTGTTGTCTGCGGGAAATGGAGCCCGAACTGCTGAGGCGTGTGCTGACTTATCTCGTCAGCACATCACGTTTGGCTGTCAAACTATTCCTTAAGATCCAAAGTGACAGTGAGAGTGAGGAGTCCGACGATGCTATCGAGCCGCGTAACGCGTACGACACGAAATTGCTTGTGGCATTCACGGACATGCTCAGCACCGTGGAACGCCGCTTTTGGGCTCAGGAAACAAGCACTGAGTGGTAGGATCACATCGTCATGGAAGTCTGGGATGATGAGCAGTGGCTGCAGAACTTTCGGATGAGAAAAGCCACTTTCATGGGACTGAGAGGAGCTCACCCCCACCCTGCGGCGCAAGGACACGAGATTGAGAGCTGCCCTGCCAGTGGAGAAGCGGGTGGCTATTGCAATCTGGAAGCTGGCAACTCCAGACAGCTACCGGTCGGTCGCAAACCAGTGGGAAAGTTGGAGTGGGAAAGTCGACCGTTGGAATCGTGTTGATGCAAGTTTGCAGGGCCATTAATCGCATCCTACTCAGAAGAACCGTGACTCTGGGTAATGTGCAGGAAATAGTGGATGGCTTTGCACAAATGGGTTTCCCTAACTGTGGAGGGGAGATAGATGGGACGCACATTCCTATTCTGGCAGCACCCCACCTAGGATCCGAGTACGTTAATCGGAAGGGGTATTTCTCTATGGTTCTCCAGGCGCTTGTGGATCACCGTGGGCGTTTCATTGACGTTAACACAGGCTGGCCCGGAAAGGTGCATGACGCACGCATCTTTCGGAACACTTGGCTGTTCAGGAAGATGCAGGCCGGGACTTTTTTCCCAGAGCGGAAGATCATGGTAGGGGAAGTCGAAATGCCCATTGTGATCCTTGGAGATCCCGTTAATGCCGTGGCTCATGAAACCCTACACAGGGAGCCTTGACAGCAGCAAGGAACGGTTCAACTACAGGCTGAGCCGGTGCCGAATGACTGTGGAGTGTGCCTTTGGTCGTTTAAAGAGCCGCTGGCGATCTCTGAATGGGAAGCTGGACTTGGCCGAAAACAGCATCCCCGCGGTTATATGCGCGTGCTGTGCCCTCCATAATATTTGTGAAGGAAAGGGTGAAAGCTTCACTCAGGCATGGACCTCCGAGGTTGAACACCTGGAGGCTGAATTTGCACAGCCAGAGAGCAGGGCTATTACAGGGGCCCAGCCCGGGGCTGCCAGGATTAGGGATGCCTTGAGGTAACAATTTGAGGCTGAAAACCAGCAGTGATATCTGGTGCCCTGCACGGGAGTGAAGTGCAGTAGTTCCAATATTTAGGAATCAGTGTTTGCTAAGCAGACTTGCAGTGCCTGTTTATTTCCTGGGCTAAGGAGTCTTTTACTTTATGCAATAATAAAAAATGTTTTCAAAGCCAAGAAATCCATTTATTGAAAAGAAAACAAATTTATTTATTGAAAAGAAACAAGGGGGTGGAGTGGGGAACGGTACAATCAGATTCGCGTATATCCTGTCTGGTGTGCTGTGCAGTGAGTGCTGCTCTTCAGGATAGCTATACTGCATGGTGATGGGGGTTGAGTGCAGAGGGTAAGGGTCATGGTTTTCAGGGCTGGGTGATGAAGATACTGGTGTTGGAGGCAGCTGGTGGTGTGAAGAACACGGAAGTTGAGGAAAGTGGGTTGGAGGTAACAGTGGGGCACAACGGAAAGAGTTTTGGGACAAGGGCTGTAGGGGGGGGTGGCGTTTGCGCTTGCGGTACTGCTCCTTCTGCATGGCTACGAGCTCCTGGATAGCGTCTGCTTGGCGCTCCAGGATGCTTATGAGCTGATCCGTGCTTTGCTGCCGGTGCGCTGCGTTTTCCTGGCGGATCCTGCTTTCTCTCTCCCTCCAGTTCTGTGCTTTCTCATTCTCTTTAATAGATTGCCGCATCACTTCTTGCAGCATGTCTTCTTTGCTTTTTCGCCGTCTCTTCCTGAGTCTTTGCAGTCTCTGAGCAGGCGATAAGAGAGACGGCTGAGGTCTCAAGGTTGATGCAGCTGTATAGGCAAAATGCAACATTTAACCGAGACAGCATTGTTTATACCAGACAGAGTAATGATTCCCTCCGCACTTGAGTAGAAAACACATAGGGTCTACACAATAGCATAATTTTCCCGTCCGAAACAAAGCACACATATCCCACGGGAGCCTCAAAATGGTAAGGGGGACTGATTGTTTCAGGGCTGCACTGTCCTCTGGGTTTCTGTGCCTTGGGGAGAGCCAACAGCTTCAGGGGGCACCTACACTGAACACTGTCCCAACATTTTCCGCAGGAGTTCGTCCTGGACGATATCTCGCTGCTGAGGGTGACCTGGGAAGCAAGGGAGGGTCTTCTACTGCAATGCGGCTTCCGCCCTGGCCCATATGCAGCTTGCCTGTGTGCAGCAATGGTCCCCCCGCCCCTTACGGCACAGTGGCGCAGACACGTTAGCCTAGCTGGGACAAGGATCACGGTGGCTCTCCCGATAAACCTGCGCAAGCGCATTGCACACGTTCTGGATGAGACATTCGAGGAGATTACCGAGGCCGATTACCGCGATGTGATAAACCACATCAATGCACTATTCCGCATCTAGGCATGCATGCCTAACCCTCCTCTCCCGAAGAGCCCGCACCGAAAAAATTCCTTCCCGAAAAAAAAAACAAAAAACGCTTACCGGGAACCTGCTCTTCTGTTTGTCCTCCACCAAGTACCGGCCGCTGCGACTGGCTACCTTCCTCCTGGCTCGAGAAGAGCTCCTGGCTGCATGGCTCCAGGGATTCTGGGGTGTCTCCATTCGGCCCACCACCATCACTCCCGTTTTCCTCCTCCTCCCTCCTCCCCCCCCCCCCCCCCCCTGGCTCTGCAGTGTCCATGGTGGTGCTCGGAGTGGAGGTGGGGTTAACCCCAAGTATCGCATCCAGCTCTTTGTAGAATCGGCAGGTCGCGGGGGGAGCACCCGAGCGGCCGTTTGTGTCGTGGGCTTTGCGGTAGGGATTCCGCAGCTCCTTCACTTTAATCCTGCCCTGCAGGGCGTCCTGGTCATGGCCCCTTTCCATCATGTCCTTTGATACCTTCCCGAAGGTATCGTAATTCCTATGGCTGGAGCGCAGCTGGGACTGTACAGCTTCCTCCCCCCCAAACACTGATGAGGTCCAGCAACTCGCCATTGCTCCATGCTGGGGCTCGCTTGGCGCGTGGAGGCATGGTCACCTGGAAAGATTCGCTGATAGCACTCCACACCACGTCGGGCTGAGCAAACAGGAAGGGGATTTTTAAAATTCCCGGGGAATGTAAAGGGTGGGTCACATGGTTGGTTACCTGAGGTCAGGGCAGTAGAGTTTGAACTGATGACCAGAGTGGCTAGAACAGGCATTGTGGGATACCGCCAAATACTTCAGGAGGCCAGTCACAGCGCATTGGGCTGCCACACTGGCGCCGCAGCGCTGCAGCGGCAGCGCAATACATGCTATTCCTCTTGGGGACGTGGAGTACATGCAGCGCTGCAACCACGGAGATACAGCACTGCAAATGCCTTGCCAGTGTGGACGGGGAGTGAGTTACAGCGCTGGGGGCGGCTTTACAGCGTGGCAACTCGCAAGTGTAGCCAAGGCCCTACTCTCCTTACGCTACAATCTGGGGCTCAGAAAGCAGCAGTCTGGGCTAGGTCTTGGCTGCCTTACTGCCTTGTATTGTCATCACCTGTGTGAAGTAGGTGTCAAACTGACATTCACAAGCATTCTACATTCTTGTCATTGGTGTGTGTAATAACACAAAGTGCAAAGCAATGGAGAATCTGGCTGTAGAGCTTTGCTCATCAGCAGAATGGGTTTCCATTGGGTGATGTGTGACACTCCACTCTCCTGTCTCCCTCCGGTTGTGGGTAGCGATCACCACCCCCTTTGCTCCCAGCGTGTTGAGTGACACAAAGGTTTGAACCCCACATTCGACTACTTCAAAATGCAGAATGTGTTTAGGGTGAGCCAAAATTAACGTAGCGACTAGATTGTGAACGGCCTCACTACTGTATGCTATTTAACAACTCTGTGCTACAGTGACTGACCTGCATATACCACCACAGCCTGTTCTCTCTTCCTTCTAGGTGACAATTGTTGTCTTAGGAAACAAAACTGACCTCACAGAGCAAAGACAAGTGGAAACAGAAATAGCGCAGCAATGGGCAAAGGCTGAGAAGGTGAGACTGTGGGAGGTGACAGTGACAGATCGGAAAACGCTCATTGAACCTTTCACTTCGTTAGCCAGCAAGCTTTCCCAAGCCCAGAACAAGTCAGCATTTCCCTTGCCTGGGAGGAAGAGCAAAGGCAATAACTGTGATAACTAAAAACCCCTATTCCAGGGGAAGCTGTTCATCTGCTGCTGCAAGGGCATGGTGTCTCTTTTTCTCTGCCAATTGCTTGGCACGTTTTTGCTGAGGCAACACTGAATTCAGAATTAAAAGCAGCAAAGTTGTAAATGTAGCTGTCCTTCAATCCAGTATTTGCTTGGAAAACCACAGCTGGTCAAGGTCTAAAGCACTCCACAAGGGAGCACTTCGTAAAAATGTCGTAATGGTCACTGGGGACGGGGGTGTTGTTTTTAGTGGGAAGCTCTATTAAAGCCCACTTCAGCACAGAGATGTACAGCAGTGATGGCTGTCTACATCCCCACACATAGCCATTTCAGGGTGCTATTGGGTCAAGTTCACAAGTGGACAATTAGTAAACTACTCCATATGCAGCTGTCCAGCCTCTGATGTTCCCCTTTTGCAATTGCAAAAACTCCTGGCTGCAGCAAAGGAGAAAGGGCTTATCTATCTTCCCATGGCTAGGGAAAGGGTACGTGTGATGTCGTTTCAGCTCCTTTGCGCCTCACTTACTACCCATGGGTGGTGTACACAGTTGGAGAAGTTCCAGGACAGCTGAGCGAGAATACTCCAGGAGAAATGGACAAGACCATTGCCTACCTGGCAGGGATATCCGAGCATCAGTGTTCCTGCTGCATGTGGAAATAGTGACATTCCATGAGTGATCCTCAGATAGGTCAGGCCTGACTTGAAACTAGCGATCAAAGGCTGGAACGTGATGTGGTTTCCTTGTAGTTTCCACTCGACTCATCCAATATGGAAAGTGACCTTTACTGTTATGTGGTGTACAAAACAAAAGCTTGAGGAGCAATTAAAAAAAAAAATCTAACCCTTGGGGGAGGGTAGACTAACTATGTAATTTTGTTCCACTTTTATATTGCTGCTGTCAACTGAAGCAAAAACTGGTGCCTGGTTATGATTAGATATCGGACGGTTTCACTGACAAGAAATGGTACAACTTCCCTGTTGCTAGTAGCATAGTTCTTAAGTCAGCTAGAACCCTGCAACAGCTTAGGAAATATGAGATAGGAAGGGGGGCGGTTACTACCTTCGCCCAGCAGAGCAAGCCACAAACACAGCTGCTGTCCATCTACACAGGGAAGTTACAGCTTGTATTCTGTAGGAAGACTAAGCCTGTGTACACACTACAGCTTAGGTCGGTATCCCCCCCGGCAAAGTAAGTTACACCGACCTAAGCATGTGTGGGGACAGCATTGTGTCAGCAGGCGAGCTTCTCCCACTGACATAATTACTCCAGCCCTGTGAGCGGTGGTAGCTAAGTCGATGGGAGAGCTCTCTCCCGTTGGCTTAGAGCATCTGCACTACCTGTGGGGCAGCTGCATTGGCTGTAAGCTATGTAGTGTAGCCATAGCCTAAGTAAACAACAGTGTGAAGCACTGTATCTCTTTGTGGAAGAGGCTTAATAAGTGTAGTGAGAGGCCTGCTAGTGGTGGGTATATCTAAAAGTCAGCCAGCCAGCTCCAAATGGCAGATCAGCAGAAATGCTTGTGCAGATCCCTCAGCTGTAACAAGCGGCACAGCTTCCAACAGCAGATGCATATGATACTGAACTTGACCTCAAAGGACGGATCAACACGTTTCAGGATTCTGCTCTCCCAACAATCTGAACAGGACTGTCATAAATATAAAGGGAAGGTAACAACCTTTATGTATACAGTAACATAAAATCCCTACTGGCCAGAGGTACAGAATCACTTACCTGTAAGGGGTTAATCAGTTCAATTAACCTAGTTGGCACCTGACCAGAAGGACCAATGAGGAAAGAAGATACTTTCAGATTGGGGAGAGGTGGGGGGAAAGGTTTTTGTGCTCTCTTTGTTGGTTCCCTCTTGGGACAAAGAGAGAAACCAAGCAGGTAAACCAGCTCCTAAAAAGATCCTGAAATGATACATCTAAAATTACAGAAATTGTAAGTAATAGCAAGGAAATGCATTAGATTATCTTTTGTTTTAGCTTGTGAATTTTCCCTATGCTAAGAGGTAATTTTATCCCTGTTTGTAACTGGGAAGCAGAGTCAGAGGGGAATCCTCTGTTTTAAATCTTTTTATTTACCCTGTAAAGTTCTCTTCCATCCTGATTTTGCAGGTGTGATTTTTACTTTTTTTTTTTTATTAAATAAAATTTTTTTAAGAACCTGATTAATTTTCAGTGATCTACAAACCAGGGATTTGTTAACCTATTGGTTGGTATATTATTCTCAAGCCTCCCCAGGAAAGGAGGTGAAGGGGTTTGGTGGGGATAGGGCTCCAAGTGGCCCCTCCCCAAATGTTTATTTAAATCACGTGGTGGTGGCAGCAATACCGTCCAAGGACAAGGAATGGAATTTGTGCCTTAGGGAAGTTTTTAACCTAAGCTGGTGGAATATAAGCTTAGGGGGTCTTTCAGGCGGGTCCCCACATCTGTACCCCAGTGTTCAGAGTGGGGAGGGAACCCTGACAAGGACTGAGGAGGGAGATAGAGCGAAAGCAGTGGGAGAGCAAATCATTTCTACAGAGAGATAGCAGCTGCTTGGAAAGCCAGATGAATGAAACAGTGAACAGATGAGTAAAGTTCCATACACTTCCAACTAAGTAGTATTTCCTGGTATTTTAAACAGTGTTGTACTGTCATGAGTCAGCAAGACCTCAATAGTTATTTGTGGTGACGCTTAAGCTGCTGAGTACTGTCATTTGAAAGTGTCAAGTTTGATGGCTGCACTAACCCTTTAAGTATGTACCTGCAATATCCTTCTGCTACACAGTGGTACGAATACCTCAGTGCAAAGTATGAACAGTTAGTAAGGATGGTGCAATAATACAATTTACCAGACTGAAGCAAGTTTTTACGATGGAGTAACTTGGATGACCTGTACAGTTGAACCTGTTTTTTGTCTTGCTCCATGAGGTAGTTCTGGATCAGTGTTCTTCCTGTGTGCAAGGCGTATGACAAGAGAGAGTCAGCAATTACATCTTCAATTATTTGCTATTCCTTATGGCTGAGCAAGCTCCTGCTACCCTCTGCTAGAACCTTGCATGTGTTTCTGTTGCAGGATTGCAGCTGACTAAGAGCTATGGCACTATGAGAGCAGCGGTGGAACACCACCCACTTTAATTTCCTGCTGACTGTACATGAATTCTCCATGTTTCTCACCATACAGGGGACTTGACTGTTTACATGTAGTGTTTGCAGCAGACCACTGACTTAGTTTTGGAAGTGGGATGAAGATAGGACTAACTTGTTCTACCAGCAGTGGTTCTCCAGCTTTTACATGCCATCATTAACCCCCTGCATGTTACCAAGTTTAAGGAGCTCCCATCTACTCATAACAAAGAGGAAGTAGGGTGTGCCACCCCTGCTGTCATAGCAGCAGGTGGAGAACCCATGCTCAGAATGGCAGATGATTCAGTCTCAGATCAGTCACGTGGACTTGCCAGGTGTCTAACCAAATACTACCTATGAAGTCACCACATGAGTGGGTGTTCTGTATTAGAGAGCAGGGAAAGCAGGCAAGATAAATAATGCTAGTATGTCAGAATTAACACTGAAGGCCTGTGAGGTTGGAGTGGACAGTGTTACCCTATACACTTCTGCACTACATAGCCTGAATCCTATAGAGGTTACGAGCCAGGAGAAAGTTCTACATTGTTTGCTCCCCTTGCTGTGATCTAAATGGCCTGATCCCTTTGTCTGAAGTAGAGGAAATCAGGTGGTAGTATGGCATCAATTTGCCACTGTAGCACTGGGAGGGGTTCTCGCATTGGCAATCCACCTCCCAGGCAATAACTAGGTGGATGGAAGAATTCTTCTGTTAACTAGTGCTGTCTACACGGAGGGTTAGATCATCTTAACTACATCTCTCGGGGTGTGGATTTCTCACACCCGAGCCACATAGCTATTGCAATGTAACTTTTCAGTGTAGGCCAGGCCTAACAGCTCAGCACTGCTCTATTGGGCATTAAGAACCTAAGTGGTTTCTAAGTGGTCTACAGTGAAAATTTCTGTTGATCTAGCTACCATCTTTCAGGGAGGTGGATCAACTATAGTGAAAGGAGAACCCCATGGGTTGCTTTAGTGAGTGGCTTCACTGAAGCACTACAGCAGTACCACTGTGGCATTTTAAGTGTAGACATAGCCTAATAAAGGGAGAAGGCATTAGGGATTATACAGGGTGACTAAGAAGTAGTACATCACCACATAAGCTAAAGAAAACCCAACACGTTACTTTTCATTTGGTCAGACTAGATACTGGCATTGTCTGGGGCTTTTAAAAAGAAAAAAAAAAAAGCCCTTTTCTTTACAGGTCTGTCCTACTGCTTTTTAGTCACTCAGGCTTAGTGTCCTTTCTAAGTACTACCATCCCTTGCAGTAAAGTAACTGATCTAGTTGTAGCCCTCAAACAATTTGGAGCAGCTGGTGTTGTGTCCGAGTGAAACTTGCATATACATACAGCTTTCTACAGGATTAGTAAGTTTCTATGGGCAGTGAACTATTGCTGTCGATAGTGTGATTCAGTGACTACAGCGGGGAGGGGACGGACTGAGGCACAGCTAGTGTGTTCTGTTCTTTGCTTTACCATTGATTCAATACCTGTCGAAGACTGATCACTTAGCTCCCTTACAGCGAGATTGTCCCTATCCCTTACTTGGCTGTACAAGCGACATTATCAGGAAATAGTTTTGCAGCAGGTTAGAATCGGTCTTCCCCACTTTTCATATAAGTTGTGTTTTGCCCAGCTCTTTTATGATGCCATTCCTTCTCCTCCTCCAACTGGAAGTACAGCTCTCTCTCAGTACAGCTGTGACAGACATTCCCCTCAGCCTCTCACCTGCAGCCCATCCTTAGTCTGACACTGTTCCAGCTGCATTCTCTGCAGTTTTAGCTAATGGGTAGCACTTCAAAACCAGTTTTGGGAGCAGTTAACCGTAAAGGTAAGAAGCATGGAATCTTCAGCAATGTGCTGTGACAGGGATGCTATGTAG